CCCCCACTCCCCCTTGCATAAAAGTAGCAAATTAACATTATTGATCTGACCAAACTCTAAATTGGCAATTATGGTTGGTCTCTCCACAGTCATCTGCTCTCTCAACAGAAATAGTCCTCACATCACAACTTAGACTCTGAGGAATTTTTTTACAGTTAAAATAGCTACTGTGCACCAACAGTGAGTTTCAGTGATCTCCTTAGCTGACTTAAAAACTCACAGGAGTCTTGTTTGACCTAATTAACAAAAGCTTACAGAGAACTTGCAGATCCTTTATTTAGAAGTAGTATAAAAATAACAAATCTTATCAACACATACAGGGTAAGAGAGAAAGTTAACAACCTTACTGGTATCATTTTGCTGTCTCAACAGAAGTCAGTAGACTGGTGTGGGCAACTACCCAAGAGCTGCACACACCCATTCCACTGTAACAAATGCAGTTTTGCATTTTTATCCACCCCTGTGCCTAAACAAGGCTCCCCAAGGTTTGTTCTTGCTTTTCTGCTCTCTCTTCCTCATCCCTTTGGAGTAGGCACAAGAACAGGCTCAGCTGCTTACAGCAGTACACCAATTATCTCCCTGCTCCTTTCTCCTCCACTTCAAATTAAGTACAGGACTGGGGAAGGGAATCACTGGCATCTTTTGCTCATTGCCTTTCCAATTCTAGGAAACAGGAAGTAAAACCCTCTTCTACATTTCTTAGGCTTCCCCAGAAGGACATAGCTCTGGTGTCCAAATGAATCTAAAGAACAACAGAGAGTATTAGAGCCAGGCAAAACAACACCACAAGATACTGGGTCTGTGCATCTACTGACATCACTCAAACACATGAGGGTGTGCAAACACACACACATCTGGCCAGCTGTGGTCAGCAGGAACCCCACCCACATTACCAGCAACTACAATAGTACAGATTTTAAATACTGAGATCCACACTCACAGTCAACTCCCTCCTAATGCTAATTTTTACAATAGCAGTGAAAGTAGGAAAACCCAAACCAAGTAGGTCAAATAGAACAGTGGCTTTTTTCACCAGAAAGGAGCTACTAAATCTCATTGTTTCAGTGCCCATCTCTGAAGCCTGGATACAGGGTACAGCCTGGATACAGATCAGAAGGCAAAGAACTGCTCTCCATTTTCCAGTGGCGTGGCATTGCCTTGTCTGCACACAGATTCCACACTGAAATGGGGGAAAATGTGCTCTTCACATAGAATCACAGAATGGTTTGGGTTGGAAGGGACCTAAAAAGCTCATCCAGCTCCACCCCCTGCCATGGGCAGGGACACCTTCCATCGTCCCAGGTTGCTCCAAGCCCCTGTCCAACCTGGCCTTGGACACTTCCAGGGATGGGGAAGCCACAGCTTCTCTGGGAAACCTGTGCCAGGGCCTCAGCACCCTCACAGCAGAATTCTTTTGCCTTGTATCTAGTCTGAATCTGACCTCTTTTCATTTAAAACCATTACCCCTTGTCCTACCACCATGGGCCCTGCTAAGAAGTCTGTCCACAGAACCATAAAAGTACTATCATCTTTGCTCCTTTATTAATTAATAAATATTTAAGTTCTATTCCTGATTAAAATAGATTGTTTTTAAGTAGGCATAGAATTTTTAACAAGGTTATCGTTTTTTGCTAAAAATCCCATCCAATATAAATAACAGATTCTGAGAGTTTCCATCCAAGTTTTATTTACATTGCTTTCCAATTGGAGAAAAACCTCTGGCATTTTCAAAAAAACTTGCTGTTTTGTCAGTATTTAAAGAGTTTTATGATCAGAATCCAACTACTTAGAGCATAATTTGTTATCACAGTAAAGCAAACAACCCATCATACATCTTTCTATTTCAAATTCATTTCAGGCACAGCCCTTTCTCTGTGAACTCATTATGGACAAATGCCTTTTTCTCCTCAGACTAAAACTTGGCTTTCACCTTGATAGCAAAAATATAAAGAATATCACAGCCCTGTGCAATGCAATGATCTCAGGCTAACCTTTCTAATATATATTTCTCAGAAATCTAAACTAAAATTGCTGCACAACCCCTGTAACTCAAACCCATTCAAGCTTCCCCATGCACAGTTTATTCCCAGTACTGGCACAGATTCTCTGTGGTCAGAAGGAAACGAGGAAGATTCCCAATATTTTACACCAACTAATTTTCTGCAACTGTCTCAAAGCTATGCTTTACTTCACCCTCTCATTTCTCACTGTTCTCCTCCTCTCTCCAATTTTCTGTCAGTAGAACTTCCTTATCTGGGAACAACACAGCATCCCTCTCCAGGCCGTGTTTTAATCACTGCAGGCTTCCTGGGTATTACATCCCAGCTCCCATTGTTTCACTGAGAGACAAACACAAACCTTACAATGCACCTCAACAACACTACCAAGGTAAGGGCTGGGAATTCTTAATTGAAACAAACTTGGTCTTTCAAACCACAATCCAGGTAGGGAGTTCCCCAAAAACCATGAGAAGAACATTGGAGCCTATTTAGGGATGTTCAGAGAGGCTGCTCACATTGCTTGGCAGCCTCACTGACCAGTGAAGGGCCCTTTGCAGGCACTGACCTACTGAGGGTGTCTGTGCAACAACCAGCACTTGAATTTCCCCTACAGGAAGAAACATTTCCACAAAGCTGACTAGGCACAGCAGCATGATAAATAACATTAATTACATTTCTTAGATGATTCTTATTACAGTTTGGGAATAATAAAAATTTCTGCTGGTGCTGATCCAACAACAAACAAGGATTTCCATTTAGTCTTTCAATATATTTTAAGGTATGTCCTTACATAGCTTCCAGCCTCAACACCAAGGATAAAATTCTAGTCCCAGCTCTGCCACAGGCACCTCAGTGCATTTCCTCAGGCTTCCAATGTACAGCCCACAGATGGGACAAATGTCAGTTACCCACTTAACAATGGTGCCAATTGTTCTGCCAGAGAAGCTGTGACACTGTATCAGTGGAGATAAGAAATCACTGAAGGTGCTCCAACATTGGCAGCTTGGCCCAGGGAGGCTGGGGAGCCTCCATTCAGAAGGAACTCAAAACCTGGCTGGTGCAGTCCTGTCAGCCTGGTCTGGTTGACCCTGCTTGAGAAGGCAGCTGATGATCTCAAGAAGTCTCTTCCAATCTAAACAATTCTGTGATTATTTCTATATTAGAATTCTTAATTTTTAGAAGGTTTGGGGGAAAAAACCCCCACAACACAAAACAATGTGGTTTTCACTCAGAAGCTCTGCCAATTTCGTCATGGGGCAGATGCCTCCTTCCAAAGTTCTATGAGAACTGTAAATTCTTTCCCCTGTTATTTAAGAATACAATAATGTTTTGTGCAATGTTATAAGAAATATAATGAGCTACAATAGAAAGCAATCCCAGAAAGAAAAATCACTAAATGAAAGTTTATAGCTAGAGCTTTCTCTCTCCTTCCCCTCAAGGAACTGGTGTTAACAATAAAAAAGAAATACTTTAGTAGAAAGGAAGCTTAGCTCATTTGTAGGTAAAATGATTCCCCTTTTTCCAATTTAGTACCACTGCCAATATTACTGTTGTCATCTTCAGCTGACACTGGGGAGAGGGGGAGAAAAAAATCTTACAGGAGGAAAAGAGAAAAGATCACTTTATTCCCATACCCAGAGAGGTATGTATACACAAAGGAAAAAGGAGGATTACTAGGTGCTGTCATCTCATTGCAAGGGTTCCATACTGTTGTCTCCTTATCACACAAGTTCCATACCTGCTTGGTGTTTCTTGTGGGCAGCTCCTCACAGCACTGACTCTTTCTTCTTCACAAAGCAGCCACTGACTCCAGTTCCCTTCTCACCCACCCACCCCACTCTTTTATAGCATCTTCTTCTCATTGCTCACAGCTGTGGCCTGGTAAAGTCAGGCCTGTTCCTAATCTTTGATAATTGGCCCAGCTGCAGCTCCTTAGGGGTAAGATTACTTTCTACACTATTTTCTTATATTCTATATCCCTACAACTAGGTGTAAAGAGTGGTAGAAAACATGATATAGACCATGTTCCATGCCCCTCCTGCACAAGATCAGATGCTCCTTCCCAAGAGAATACCTGCAGGGACATCTGACCCCACAGAAGAACTGGGCCCAGTTATGATTTCCTAAGAGTTGATTGCTTTTTGAAGCACAGAACACAGCTGGTTATGCTGGAGATGCATTGGACTCACTCCACTGGACCATTCCTGGGTTGGTTTCCTAGACATGTAACTGTTGTCACTGCAGGTTTAAATGAAGAAACAAAGCTCCTGCAGCTCTAGGTAGAGGTATTTCTCTAAAGGAAGGACAGGAAGGAAATGCAAGCTTAGACCACCTACAGTTCTTGATCCTTATCCCACAGTTAAGGCTTGCAATTACTAAGCTAAAAAAGACAAAATAAAAGCCAGGAAAAAATACCTTCAAATGCTCAAATTTTTTATCTGCTGTGTCATGGGCTTTGGCTATTAAAACGTAAGAAAAGAAGAGGGATGAAAGCAGGAGACATTATGTGGCAGCAACTGAAAATTTTATAAAAAAGATATGTATAAAACTCAACACACCCACCCTAGTGTCTACTTCTAATTTAGGGAGGAACAATTGTACAAAACCTCCCATAGTTTGAGTTCTCCTTTCAGACTCTAGACACTAAAACAACTACTTACAAACTGTGCTGAATAATTTTTGAAGTCTTTGATGGGATTTGCAAAAGTATTGTATTATATTATTTCTTACATACTTAATAGCACTTGAAAATTGTTGCCTTTTTTTATAACAATGAAATTTTCAGATCTGAAGGTAGAATTTCAGAACTGCAGAAAGTTCCAGAGTAGTACATGTGACTTTCACATGATCCATTATTCTGCAGTTGGGGAGCCCCTATGAAATACAAGGAATCCAACAATTCTGATATTGATTCTGATGGATTTTGAAAGCACAAAGGCAGGCAAGATTCCTCCCAGGGTATTAGAGATGTGCACACAAGCAGAGGAGCAGTGCTCTTACCACATACAGCTGTTTCCAGAGCACGGCCCATTCCTGCAGCGTCGCTGTGACTTCAGTCACCACAGAATCTTCAAGAGGAACAACTGTTTCATATTGCCTGCAGAAAAACAGGGGGGAAATTAGGAAATGTACTCTGAAAAAGGTAGAAAAAGATATGTGACAGTAAAAAGTGCCATAATTTGTAGAATTCCAGAACTTGAATTTGTTGAACACAAGGAGAATATCTCAAGGGGATCATTTTGTCTGTTGTAAAACTGAAGCAAGTCCAGCTACTGTTCCTCCATTACATTCCACAAGATTAAGCTTCTGTGAAGCATTTCCTGGTTACCTGTTCAAAAGACATACTTTCATTCTAATCAAGGTCAATGAAAAGTTTTCATTACTACAGCACGTTAAATTAACTTGCCTGTAAAGTGAGGTCCTTCACAATTTGGGTCCCTTCCTTAAGCCAGTCCACCCCATTTTCCCCCCTTCAATAATGTTAGCCAATATCAAAACCACCCAAAATACCTGCTGTCTACTAACATGTCCTATCCAGAAAGCTTTTTCAACACTGCAGATGAAATCTGGGGGATCTATCCTCTAATCAAAAGAATAAAACTTGTTCCTTTGTGCTAAAGATTTTCCAAAACCATTAAAGGAGAATCACAAGAGTGGCTTGGACTGAAAGAGACTTCAAAGCTCATCTCATTCCACCCCCTGCCATGGGCAGGGACACCTTCCACTGTCCCAGCTGCTCCAAACCCCACCCAGCCTGGCCTTGAACACTTCCAGGGATGGGGCAGCCCCCACTTCCCTGGGCAAACTATGCCAAGGTTTCACTGTCCACATCCTAAAATGTCTTCCTTAAATGTAAACCCATCATCCCCTGGCTGACTCTCCAGACCCTGCCAAAGGCCCTCTCCCCATCATCTTACAAGCCCCTTTTAGATACTGCAAGGCCAAAAGCAGCTCTGTGCAGTGTCATCTCCTCTCCAGGCTGGCCAGCCTGTGCTCACAGCAGGGCTGCTCCAGCCCTGGGGACAGTCCCTGTAAACCTCTAGGGATGTTTGGGAGGGCAGGGACAGTGAGCAGGGCTGTGTGGTGTTCAGCTGCCTGCCAGCTTCAACACTTGCTCTGTTATTTCACAAGTGCTTATAATGGCGCTTGAAATATATTCTGAAATAAAGAATTTTCAAACAAAACCTGAAATAACCATGCCCCTCTGGTTCAGAACTGCATTACATTCTGTTGTGTCAATTGGTGCATGAGGCTTTGATACTTTTAAACAGTATATCAGCTTTCCTAATAAGTACCTGAACTGGTTGCCCTTCACAAACTCTAAACTAACATCAAGGACTAATTAACTACACATCACAGGGAACTGCTCCTTCCCCTAAGGGGAGTGCACATTAGGAGTGGTTATTCTATGCAATATATAGCATTTTATTACACCCCAAAATGATGAAGCATCACTATTACAGCTGCCCTTACTGAGGCCCTTTGGGAACAAATCTACAATTCAAGACAATCAGAAGTCACCTGTTTTTCTACAGGTAGTTCACTAAGAGCCATTTAATACATTTTATCTTCCACATTTAATTTGTTGCCTCAGGTCACTGTCTGAAACACTGCAATTATAAATCTCCCCACAGCAGCCTTTATCTGGAATATGCAAGTAAAAGCAGCAGTGAAAACACAAGATATTGATTTCAGGAGTCTCAGTCAATCTCACAGGAAACTTTGCAGGTTCCAGAGCCCCCAGTCAGTAACTTCCCTGACATGACATTTCCACCAGTGTTGTTATTCCCAGTAACTGAAATAAACCCACTGCCAGCAACACATGAATACAAACAAAGAGAAGGGCAGAAGCTTTCAACAGTGCACTTCAGTCACTCTTTGGGTGAGGTGGGGAGGGCTGGATCCTTTGGAAAACATTCAAGGTAACACAGCTATGACTCTGAAAATCTGTAGGTAAATGAGATGGGCTCTCTACTGACTGGTGCCTCCACAACAAATAAGAAAATACAGTACTTTGCCAGTGAGAGAACAAGCAGAAATGGAAGAATATAAGAAGAGTTCTTTAAGTGAATGTGTTTCAGATGAAACCTCTAAAGTTACAATTTTATGAGCCAAAGCAAACAAGAGTAACCATCAGACCTGATTCTTGCTATATTAAAAACAAACAAGCCACCTCCCAACTCTGTAGAATTACATTTAATTCTCAAGCCCTCATACACAAAAATGATACAATGAACTGAAACATCTCTGTAAGTTTCAATAATTATTTCTTTGTTTCCCTTCTAGATAAAAAGCACTGTAGCTGCTGAAAAGGAAGGAAAAATACTCACCCTCTGTTACTGACAATTGCCTTTTTCAAGTGAATATAATTTGCAGGAAAAATCCCCTGCAAGAGAAAAAATTCAGTCCATTAGAAAAATACATTTACAGTTTTCAGCATTGGTAACCTCAGCCACAATAAATAACTGCCAATATATCTATTAAGAATCCCCCCAAACAACCATTGTGTCAAAGCTGCCAGTCAAGACTCTACATTGAGATTAGTAAAAATTGGCTGTTTTATCTGCCTTAGAGCAGGACACCACACTGGACCAAACCTCCACCTGGCAAGACCAGAGAAGTGGCTCTTCTGCAGTTTGCAGCACAGCACCTGCAGCTCCCCGAGCAGGCTGATGCTGACTGGGGGTGACACAGACAGAGGCTTAAAAAGACAAATTAAACAAAAACTAAAAGCCCACCATCAAATTTGCATTGAACCCCCAAGGACAGAAGTGTGCTATTACTTGCATACTCTGGGGCTGTCAGTTTTTCTCCCTTTCCAAGGAAAAGCTGGTCAAACCCACTTGGGACACCTCCAGTTATTTGTCTTTGGCTGCTCCCATGAGGGCTGCACTCTGCCCTTGCCTGTGCCAGTGTGCTCTTGTATGTTGAGACATGGGGAAAAGGGAATTTAATCCAACCTTTTCCCAGTGTTCCACATTCTCCCTAAAGCACACAGCCCCAAATCCTAAGAGCAAAGTCTGTCAGTGTGAAAGAACACAAGCTGCACTTCAGTGGGAAATACAGAAGCAGCATTGGAAATCTTTGGATTCAAAACTGACAGCCACTGACAAAAATGTCAGCAACCAAGTGTGGGCTTTCACTTTTTAGAGCTTTAAAACCATTTCAAAAGAAAAATTTTTGGGGTGAGGGGCGAGGCAGGTTGAAAGGAATATTAAGTACCTAGGATTCCAAATGCTAAGGAAAATTTCTTTTTGTTCATAGGCAAGACTAAAATTATAGAAGGAAAAAAGCTGAATCTGAGAGGAATGGCTTCCTCAGGAAATCAGTAAATGGGCTTGCTTTCAGCCACATGAAAATCAGGAAGAAAAGAAATGCTACTTCACTTCCTGGTTTGGTTCACTTCTAGTTAATGCTGCTTATTTCTGGTATCTAAGAAACCAGGGAAGCTTTGAAGGGCTCTCCTATCAAAACTGAACATATACACAGGCAGAAGTACCAACACACACAATGACTGCAGACATTTCATTAAAAGACTCCTGTAGTCATGTCAATGAATACAGGTAATTTTATATTCCATAATACATAGGTATTAGGTAAACATGAGGAATCTTTAAATACAAGCAATATTTAAACCAACAGAAATAAATAAAGCTCATATAGAAGCACCTATTGGCGTGTTTGGATACAAACATTTAAAAAAACTTAGATATCCTCACAAACACAATCATACCAGAACAGTCAAAAAAGTTCTCCAAGAGCAAAAACAATGGAAAAAAATGGCAAATAACCAAATCAAATTTAACCAATGGTTAAATGGAAAAAATCTGAGACCACCCCCAACAACTTACAAAATCCTTTTTCAACAGACTTTTTTCAAAGTTGTTTTAGATTAATAATTCAATTTATTAAATGTTCTTTAAAATGCTGCATTTAAGCAATGCAATATCACCCACCTATGCTTTTCTTCGGGGAGTAGGGTGGAGAGGATCAAACTGGATGAGATTTATAAATGTTGAAAAAATTGCATGTTACATGTCAGGAAGGTTTCTGATCCTTTGAGTGATTAATGAGTATCACTCAATTTAAAAAAAATCAAATCCTCCCACAGGAAAAAAATTTAGAGAAGAAAAATTAAAAGTTTACTGGATTGCAACAGTAAAATAAATTTAATCTGCCATTAGATTAACAAATGTATTAATGCTTACCTTGACACTGGGCTTCTTAATGGAAACACCTCTGTACCAACCTGAAACCAGATGAAACACATTATAATATTTGTGGCACTGCTGTCTTTACACAGAAGCAAACTGACTACAACTATGCAGTTACTGAGATCATCTAAAAAAACAGCTGTGCCTCACATAGGTGAAATTTTTACAATATTTTTTTGTTAGGGCTTTTTGTAAAAATTCCTTTAATTTTGCTCTGCAATAATGACAAACCCTTAACAAGCAGCAATGCTCTTGTTTCTTCCCAGCAGGAATAAAAGCAGATTAGCTATTCTCCTACTAATAATCCTTAGGCACTGTGGCAAAGATTCATTCAGCACTCAGGGAAGAGCCTGCACTGAACACTTCTCTTCCAGGCTGGCACTTGAGTCTTGTTGCAGTGCTTATCTTGACAAAATCTCCAGACTTCAGAAACCTGTAAAAGCCATTATCATACATTTCTGATGGGCTTTAAACAAATATAAATTCTTTGCATGTGTCTGGTCTTACACATGCCCAAGTAGAGAAGAGGCTTTAGGGTCTAATTTACACACCCCATTATTGTTCTTGTATTCCCCATCAGGAAACAGCTCCAGACAGCACAATAAATGAGAAGTAAAACACAAAGCTGCTCAAGCTGCAAGTTAAACAGAAGAACTCAGTTCCTGCTGCTCCTCACAGGTGACAGTGGTGTCACTGCAGGACTCAGCTGGGAATAAAGGGGCTGAACTCCTGCCCAGGTGAGGAGTGGGAAAGCAGCACACCCTGGAGCAGCCCCAGGCCTGCAGGGACAGTGGTGCCTGTCTGGACCAGGGAGGGGCCTGGCCCTGCCCAGCCACCCCAAAGTCCTGGGCAAACCTGGCCAGGCCCAAGCCAAGCTCAGCCCCCAGGTGTGGTTAGAGCTGCAGCCAGTGCCAGGCAGGCACAGCCCTCAGCTGCACACAGCCAACACTTCACATCAGCTCAATCCCATCAAAAACCCTCTCATTTTCCCACTGACTTCCTACTTACTGTCTTTTTCCCTGCCTTATTTTAAATTGCACTGGCAGAACCTGCCAGTAATTTGCTATGGAGAATAGAGAAGAACAGAACAAAGTAACTGGGTATTTTGTCTCTCTTAGAAAAATGACTTCAGATTTGGCTGAATTATAATAAGAGTCTCATTGAGAGGATCAGATGTGGGGAAGAAGGCCTTGAATTTGCTTTAAAGACAGCCTGATAGTCTTGAATTTTTATTTTGTTTTAAAAAGGGAATCTAAGTCAATATGAAGTAAAATAACTGATGAATTCAAGACAATTGCAAACCTCAGTAGAGAAAAAATGTAAAAGTTAAAATCCATCTTTTTCATTACACAAACTTCTCATGAAGATAGGACATAACACAAAGATTTGTTTTCCTATGACATCATTGTTTACATCTCAAAAATAAACTACTGTTGTTTTGAATTCATTTTAGTTGATCAAACTTTAGGGCAATCATATCAATATAAACATAAATGCACAAACAACACATACAGATCCTTAACATGAGTGATTTCTAGAACTCCACACAACTGTGCCCACACCTGCTTTTGAGCAACAGATGCTGCATATTTTTAAGGTCACAGAATAAATAAATGCATTTATCCTGTGATTCACTGTTACTAATATTAAATACAGTCTGTACCTCAGAAATAACCAGACATTTAAGCTCTAAGGCAAACAGAATGACAAACTTCTTGGTAAATGGGGAAAAAAAGTGGTTTTATCCAAGTTTGTGAACAGACCAGTAAAAAAACATAACCCAGTAAAGGGGATGACCATCAATATTCTAGATCTGCAGGGTAGTAAACAAAAACCTAGCTCAATTCTGAAGCTTTTGTTCTTCATTCCAAACAAATTTTCAAAGTTTACAAGCTCTGTGCTTACACAGTTGTGAAAAACAGGCAAGGAAGGACCCTGAGAAATCACCCAGCTCAACCAAGCCATGTCTCTAAATCTCTCCTCACATTCAGTCTGGTTTAAACAGCATCCAATCATTTATTACCAGGGCTGAAAAACACTGCACTCCTTGTCTGAGGAAAATTATCCACACATCTGTAAAACCCAAATTCCAAGGTATTGCTGCACCAAATTCCAAGGAAACTCTATTTCTGCCACACAGACCAGTTTGAAAGTAGTGGTGTTGCACAGGCAATTTTTTAGAAGAAACTTCTTTTACAGATCAACAGTGGCCAGTAAAACTGCAGGTAACATGTGAAATTTTGGTCTAGTACTTGGAAATCTGGCATATCCCCCTTACAACCTGAACTTTCTTTGGTTCTATTTAAATACTGGACTTTTTTTTTCTTTTGGACATCATGGAAAATATTTTGTTGACTTTACTCTTGTAGTTTTCTTCATATATTTGAGAAGTTCCACAATTTCCTTTACTCTTATAAATCGTGCTCTCCAGATCTTACTTGTTCTTTTATTTTTACCTTTTTTAATGTAGTGCAATTTTTTTTAAGTCACCTCTCTCTATTTTGAGTTTCCTTCAACTCTGTGCAAGCAAGAGACAGTCAGAGCTCAGCAGAGGCTGAAAGCCCCTCACTGTAAAATGCACAACTCATTCTGTATCACAAAGTAAAAGCTATGGGAAAAGGTACAATGCTTTTTTTTAAAGGCACATTTAGAAAATTGCATCTGCATTACATTATTTTCTAAAATGAACTAAACCTGCATTCTGGAATTAGTCTTAAACACATTAATATTGATGTAATCATTTATCTTAAAGAGCATTTGTTTTGGAGGATTTAATGACAATAGTCATCAAGCCAAGGCAGGTGCTTCATCTAATTGTGACCCCAACTTGCACTCCCTGGTCAGACACAACACTGCCCAACAGCTTTAGGTGTCACTGCACTGCAAATAAAAACTGCTAATATTTCAGAGTGATGGCATGCATTTAGTGACAAGTGGTCTTCAGAGGGTACTGACTTCACAGAAATGGTGAAGATGAGATTTAAAATTAAGGAGAAAAACAGCTATAAAGTGACAAGAATTTTGTGAATAAATGAATGCGAAACAATGATCATGCCTGCAGTGAAGCTGGGTGGGGATGGAGCTGAGATGGCTGACCTGAATCAGCCAAAGGGATATTCCACACCACACATTCATTTGGTACAAGAAAACCAAGAATTAGTCTGTCAGAAATGCCCCTCTAAAACTACCTGTACCTGTGGAAATCCACTGGGGGAACTTGAAGCCACATTAGAGAATCTGCAAACTGTTGGACAAAGACTGAAAACTCCTCTTTCCAAAGGTGTGCCACACTCAGGAGTCTCAGCAACAGTGCAGCCCTAGTTAAGTTACAAAAGTAGCTCTGGGGCAGTCCTGCACATCTCAACCTCTTCATTTCAGTGACTGGAAGAGTTACCAGTGATTTTTTGATCTTTACTTGAAAGTGTGTTGAATGAAACCAGATATTCTTTCTAAAAGCCATCTCATAACCTTTTTCAGATTTCCACTTAATCCACAAGAGGTCTGTCACATGGAAACAGCTCACCCCTTTAGAGGACTCAGTTACAAAAAAGCAAAAGGGCCCTAATTGAAAGATATTGATCTACTGTTCAGAAAAATAAAGCTCAAGTATCAGAGTTACTGAGCTGCAGACAGTAGGAAAAAAGAAATTCTGCATGTAATTTCTTGACAAACAAAATTCTAAAATTAAATTATATCAGTATTTAAGGTAAATCCTAAAGCTAAAATTTGTCCTTAAATAAAGTACTGCTAGTAGAGTCTGCTACAGGAACTCAAGCATTCTTTGTCCTACAAAAATAAATGTACTTGGCAGTAATGTGAGTAACCCTCACACCCGGAGCAAAGCTGTCTTTTGCATATACAAGCCAATAAACAATTGCTTTTACCTTGTTATCTGCATGTCACCTGCCCTGCAGAGCTGAAGGCACCCAAAGTGACCCAGGAGAGGGACAGGAGCAGCGCTCAGTGAAAGCTTCCCACAGGCTGGAGCGCTCTGTCCCGAGCCGGCTGCTCCGCACTCCCACAGGCTGGAGCGCTCTGTCCTGAGCCCCGGCTGCTCCGCACTCCCACAGGCTGGAGCGCTCTGTCCCGAGCCCCGGCTGCTCCGCACTCCCAAAGGCTGGAGCGCTCTGTCCCGAGCCCCGGCTGCTCCGCACTCCCAAAGGCTGGAGCGCTCTGTCCTGAGCCCCGGCTGCTCCGCACTCCCACAGGCTGGAGCGCTCTGTCCCGAGCCCCGGCTGCTCCGCACTCCCAAAGGCTGGAGCGCTCTGTCCCGGGCCGGCTGCTCCGCACTCCCACAGGCTGGAGCGCTCTGTCCTGAGCCCCGGCTGCTCCGCACTCCCAAAGGCTGGAGCGCTCTGTCCCGGGCCGGCTGCTCCGCACTCCCAAAGGCTGGAGCGCTCTGTCCCGAGCCCCGGCTGCTCCGCACTCCCAAAGGCTGGAGCGCTCTGTCCCGAGCCCCGGCTGCTCCGCACTCCCACAGGCTGGAGCGCTCTGTCCCGGGCCGGCTGCTCCGCACTCGCCGGGCGGCAGCAGCAGCAGCAGAATCCCCGGCCCTGCCTGCCTGCACCACGTCAGGGGCAGCCTGGGGCCAGCAGAGCCACAGGAACAGGCTGATCATGCTGCCAGGGCTGCATCATTACCATCCAGAAGGCAAAGAGACATGGGATGTGTTTTACTGTGGCCACAGGGCTGTCAGAAGCCACTCTGGGCTCTGAAATGCGACTCTGAAGAACTGGGCAAGATCTGCCACAGCAGAGGAGTGAGCCAGAGAGGCTTCACTTCCATGGGCACATCCCACAAAATGCAAAGAGGGAAAAAGAATGGAAAGGGTGGGGGGGAAACCAACAGGAGAATGGGTATCTCACTGGAGACATCTTCCTCAGGCCAAGAACAAATGACTGGAAGGAGTCACTTTGGCCCAGGCAGCCACAGGTGAGCTCTGCCTCAGATGGGAGGAAACCTGCAGGGCTCCCACAGCACTGACAGCCTGCAGTGGGACTCCTCCCTCATCTGTATGGCACAGCTTGGAGGCATGGCAAAGGCATCACTTCTCAATCACATTAAATTCATCAAGAATTTTTTTAAAACCCTAATTGCAAGTTATATCTGCTGCTTAAGTGTTCCAAATACCAGAAACACTTATTTTGACCATGGCATCACTGCTGGAATTACCTTTAAATACATTTTCTGCGCGGTTTAAAAACACAATTATTAATGTACACACATGAAAACCAGGTGGATAAATACTTGTGTGGCTAGCAGAATTTGCATGGGTAAGATAATATTCTTTTAACTGGTGCTTCAGGCATCAGCTGGTGTTTCCATTCTTCAGTGAATATACAAAACTCTCAAGGTAATAATTACAGTTACTGAAGTTACAGCATTTTTAATCTAAAGAAAATTGCCCTCTAGCAATAAAAACAAATGGACAAAACAGACATTTTAAATTTAGTCTGAATGCCACTAGTTACTGACAGCCACTGCCTGTGGCAGGGCAATGGCCATGTGACTCAAAAGACAGAATGTTCTTCAGAATGCACAGTCCAAATGTGCATTTCAAACAAGGAGTGTGCTCATACTTTGCCACTTGACAAAAGAAAGCTCCATCTCTCAGCATTTCCAGTGGCACACTAATGCCCCTCTGGCATTAGTGCAGCAGAGCAGAGAACTCCACTTGGTGTTTCAGCTCTCCCTGAGTGCCAAGATCATAGTGGAAGGACTCAGAGAGGGGGAAAGCTGTGAATGACAAGCACAGGTCCAAGTGGTGTCTTGATGAACATTTCTAACATTTGAGTAGGACCAGTGGAGGATCTGAGAGTCCTCTGTGAAAGCAGTAACTACAAAACCTCCCTGGAACACCTCGTGCTTTACAGATGGTGTGTGTTTGATGGAAACACACGTGGAGCCTTTGGTACCTGTAGAGGAAAGACAGGCACCAGGTCCATGAGTTTATTTACTGGAACAGTGGGCAGGTTCTTTGTCAGATCTAGGAAGGGTTAAAAACCAGTGATTCAGATATTTGTGGTCTAGTATGAAGGCACACAGAGGAGCAGGCAAATTTGGGGAAATCCAAAAGTTCCAATTTCAAGCATGTTAACAAGATCCAAACAAAAAAAGTTACCTCTATTTCACTGTTTCATTTAAAAACGCATACACAATCACAATACTTTTTAACATGTTATCAGTTGGTAGTTATATTTATATTTATTAACCTTAGAGATAAATACATGCATGTGGGTGTGGGTGTGTGTGTATGCACCTACATTTGTTTCTGTACTCTGCAAATATCTATAAAACTTAGCTGCAGTGGTACCCAGAATCTCGAAATAGGAAATTCCCTCCTCTTTCATTCAATTGCTCTAAAAGCAAGGACTGCTTCTTACACCAATCACTACAGAAGAGCACTTGCTCTTTTATAATACAAATACAGTTATTCAGTAAGTTATTATGATTAAAAATAAGCACATTCACAAGTATAGCTACTCTTTGAATCTTTGTCAGCCTTGAATTCTCTAGCGAGTCTCTGAAATCTTAGCTCACATCACTAAAAGTTTGTGTATGTGAATCTTTTCAACCCAGACAGAAAAATCCCTGCTGCAGACAATTATGCATAAACTATTCAAGAAGTGAAGCTGAAACAGCAATGGATCTGCAGTGACTCTCACAGCAGTGACCCTTATTTTGTGTGGGTTAATATTATTTTATCCAGTCTGTCTACACAAAAGAATCCCCAGCAAAGAAGGCAGAAGTAGAGGACCCTGTTAAACAACGACTTCGACAAGAATGCTTAAAAAGCAACTGCTTTTTTTTTTCCTCTTTTAGGAGTCTGCTTTGCACATTGAGTGTGCTTTTTTGCATAATTCACACATGCAAGAGCTGCAGCACAGACCATCTGAATATTCAGATGAGTTTCATAGTGTGGAGTTCCAGATGTTATTATCAAAATTAATCTATCTTTTTATACACAAAGTCCATGGTAAAGGCACCTCAACCAAAATGACAGGATGGAGGGCTTAAACTGCAAATCCAAAAACATTCTGTACAAATCATCTTCCATCCAGGAAAACCCTGTCTGAGGACCTCCTTTCTCAGCAATTTGAAGACTGGCATGAATTGCTTTTGAGGAATCATTCTCAAAACTACCAGCAAAGGAAATATTCAAAGCCTAATTATTTTAACACTGTAAAGACAAGTTGGATTATCCATTTGCTTTTCCATGAAAAACCTGCTCCTTGGAGATCATGCTTTTATTTCCCAGTTTTAAAAATTTACCAGAAATGGCTGGAAAATACCATGACAGCTTTCAGCAACATACAGTGCTTGATTCCCTTAGCTTTATCTCATCCTAAGCAAAGGGATACTTTTTTCCTGAGCTTGCACCACGTTCTAATTTATAAGACCTGGTAGAATAATTACAATGTGCCCTCAGTGTGTGAGCACAGCTTAGCCCACCCCAGCATTTGTGGTTTTTAAAACACCATGGGATTGTTTACAGCAAGCTTCTTTGTGGGCAATTTTCTCCACTGCAGTGCAAAGCTCTCATTCAAGAGAATTTTTACAAACCTATGTTACTACAAAAATTAGCATAGAGGTGACTTTTTGTGATGAGTTAAGCCAGTGGGAAAACAAACACCTGAGTACAAGAAAAAGCATCAAGAGCAAAAAACAGTTCTAGGCATGAGAGGCAAAGCAGAGCCTGCAGAAGGTCTGGGAAGCAATATTAACAGCGCAGATGAAAAATTACTTTAAACTGAACAAAGAAAAAACCACATCTACAACTTTGTGGAATGTTAATTTGGAATTCAAATTTGTGGATCTGGGTTTTGAATTTGTTCAGCACTTCAGGAATAAGGTTACATTATTCCACCTCAGACTACAGTGAAACATGTACTCTTACTGTATCTCGTCAACCTATTTTCACCAGACATGTTTTACAACACTTGCTTGAACGTTAGGATAAGAATAATTCTCCTTTTACATCCACCTTCAATCACATTCTTCATTGTGAATATAGCAGAGCATTAGGACATTCGATTTATTCACACACAGACATCTCCAGCCACATAAGAACTATAAAATTTACAAGGGCATTTTGCTTTAGGTACGAAAACACATATCAAAATGAATGCAAAAAAAATCCCCCTAAACCCATATTTTTTACATTTTTTTCTGGTATTGCTAATCTATTTAATAACTAATATTTTCAACCTGTTCAGATGTTTCTAAGTAATTAAACTGATATGCTTAATAAAAATGCATAACAGTAACACTGAGAAAATACAGTAAAAAAAAAGATACTGATTCTGTACTTTACATGATGAAAATTCAGTGTAAGACCCAGTTACAATACAACAATCAGGTCAGGGTTCAAGATTTTCTGGACAGATGGTTAACTTCAAACACACTGACCCCCTATCAGACTGGATTAGTGCCAAGAGCACTCAGCCTTTCCTACAGAAAGTGGGTCAGAGTAGGTTTTATTCAAGTGCTTTGATTTGATGCATCATGATTTCCAAAGAACTTATTAAAACCTGCTAGATTAAGATATTGGGATATTCTTACATGGAAAATGGGGTTCCCTCTTGGACATCACACTTACCTTCACATTTCTCCAGGATCTGGACAGTTTCACCTAGTTCCAGGACCAAGCCTTGCGGAACAGTTCCTCGGAAGCTGCATATCACTAGAGGGTGGGGAAAAAGAGAGACACACATATGAGGCTTGGATCTTTGTGTGAATTTTCTTCTAAGCATAGCCCTTTAGCTCACTCCCTGTATAAAAATAGCTCTTACATAGCTGCCCAGAAAACCTGTCAGCCAACTTTTCCTGATCAGGTGTGCTTATTCCGGCCCTTATTGGAAATAAGGCTCAACAACACCATAAAAGCTGAGCTTTTAAAAAGATTTTTAAATTAAGCAAGGCTGGTAATCACTTTAATCAGCAACCTCTGATTTATATTGCATACAAAGATTTCCTTGTCTCACAATTCTTACTCTACTCCACAACCCATCAATGGAACAGGCTGCCCAAATTGCAGAGATTAAAACAGGAAATCAACTCCAGCAATTACTTTTCTCCAAGTTGAAACTATTTCAAATATAATCTGTGCATCTAATAGACTGCAAAAATCCTGCAATACCATAGATTATATTTAAGCAGACATATGAAAGAATCCATGAGAATCTGTACTTTTCATAAGCACTATCTAACATGACAACACACCTATACTTTTCCAAGTATCTTTAATTTTCATTAAGCAGGGAAAATAAGAACCCATCTTAATGTTTCAGAAAATATTGATACAATAAATAAAAACACTAAATGAAACTCTATTTTTAAAAGACGTTTTAAAGTGTATAATGATATATTCTTCAGCTATATTTATCAAAATCTTCAGGGACATGGACATGGGGAGTTCCCTCAACATGAGATGTCAGAACAAAGGGTGAATTGCAGGCAGGTCCTACCTGCCCCCAGGCCCAGCATTAAAAACTCCCCCAGGCACAGACTGAATGCAGCACTCCAGTAAAACTTGCTCCAGGTAAACACACAGCCAGGAGGGCTCCCCTGTCACCTCCACTCCCTGGAGCATTACAAGTGGGATTCCACGAGCTCAAACAGTGACCCCCTGTGGGCACCATTCTCTTCTCCAGTTCAGGAGAACATTCACTCCCCTTGGAATGCAAACACTCCAGCTGTGGTCAAGGGGCTCCCATGTGATGGAGGGGGACCCGCCGGGATCATTGAGTCCAATCAAGGGAACGGCCAGAGAGGGATCAAACCCACAGCCCAGGCGTTCCTGCTCCAAGCAGCTGAGTGCAGCTCCTCCCTAAAGATCCTCCCATGCCAAAGCCCTGAGTCCCCTTGGACTGCACCGGAAGCAGACAGGCTGAAGAACACCACGGAACCCAAGACTGCCAGCTGCACCATGTACCACAAGGTAGGGCTCTTGAACCTTGAATTTCTAAGAAATAATGAGAAATGCAGAGACAAAACTTCCACCAAAACAAAACTGCATTTTAACCCTTTGCACACCCTTCATAATGGGCAAGGGAAAGGAAGAACTACACCCATCACCCAGATGAGGCAAACACCCAGATGAGACCAATACAAGCAAGAGTGAAAAGAAGATCTAAAGGGAACCAAATGGCATCAAATGCTTGCATTTCCCCAGTGAGACTCAATGCAGGACTTAATCCCAAGAGTTAAGAACTCAGAATTTCATCAAGAAGCCTCAACTGCTCTCTCAGCTCTTATGGCCCAGCAGAAGTCACAGTCAGTTAAATGAGGATTTAAATTCTTGTTTACATCAGAGGAGGGAGAAACACAACAACTGGCTCCAGACTGGGATAATGCAGACAGCATAATCCAACAAAACCTCAGCTCATCAGCATTCTGCATCCATTCTTCACCCATGACGAAATCATAAATATGGATTTCAACCAAAGAAAAACTACTGAAAGCCTCTCCCAAAGAGCAGGAACACTGACAACTGAAATGATGAACTGGCAGGACATAATCAAACCTCCAAAGGCTTTTCTTTTTTTTTTTTTTTTTTTTGCCTCTTCAGTATGTTACAAAGCTGGATCCTTTAAACACAGAAAATGTTTTCTTTTTTCTAATTTGCAATTTTACCAAAATAGGAACATACAAGTTGATTTGCAAAATACCACAAAGTCCTGTATTAAACTGTGATTTTTTAGTTCAAACCAACAAAACCTCTAAAAAATTAATCTATGTCTCAAAAAAGGGAATTTCAAACACCTTGGGTAAAAAGCTACCTTTGAAAACACCAGAAAGCAAAATGGAGAAGTGTTAATACAGTAATAAGATATTAATTTATGAGAGTAATTTTAGATACATTAATAATTTTAAGTATTAATATAGGCATGATAATATTAAAAACCAGTTTCCAGAGCATTTTCATCTGTTCTGAACATGTCAGGGATCTCATGACAGAGACACTAATCCTAGGACATGTGGGTGTTCCTGGTTGTAGACAATAGAAAAGTTAAATCATGGAGGAAAAACAACTCAACTGCTCTTACTCAGCCAAGCTCTGAGGTCTTAGGTCTACTTCACTCAAAAAAAGACTTAATAAGCAAAAATTAGAAAACAGAAATCAACTGATTCCATCAGCTCTAGATACAATCTTGGTGATCATACTCAATTAGAAAATTAATTCTCATACAAAAGTAACACTCCTCCTTCATTCTCAATACAACAGTATTGAATCTAATGCCTTTTGTAATAATCATTAAATTATGTTAGTCTCTTCTGTTTGACAATTTTTATAATCAATTCATAGGATTGGTGAATATCCATATGGGTATTATCAAAACAATAGAAGCCAAATCTCAAGAGTAAATTATTTTCCAGCCACACTGAATCAAAGTCAGGAAAAATTAAAGAATCCAAGCAAACTGACCCAACAGACCAAACCATCTTGCTAAACTGTGTAACAAGAACAAAATGTAACACTTCTGAAATAAAAAAGAATGGTAAAAACAACTCCTGATTATGACAGAATCAGAAATTTAAGGCTCTTTCATAGTTTGATTTATTATTCCAACAACTACTTCCAAAAAAGTTGTGGATGTTACTCATTTGTTAAGCTAAAAATGCATTATGTAAGACAATCTTATTTATAGAGTCCCTTTTAGGTACACAGTTCTTCTTAGCAGCATTATTTGAAAAATGTGATCACAAATATAAATGAGAAATACAGAGTAATTCAACTATTCTGAAGAAAACCATTTACAGAGAGGACTCTGACAGCTGACTTCTTCTCTTTCCATGTAAAGAGAAATTCTTTAGCCAACACGATCACCTACAAACTGTCCATCCATCCATAAGCTCCCATCATTTCTTACAAGATCCATGTCCTCGGTCACCAGAACACACAAGTAACACATCATCCAAACAGGCACAAAGCAAAGCTTTTACCCACCAGTGTACAGATCTGACTGATCCCTCTTGGACTCCAGGACACACTGCAGAAATATTTAATATCCATTTTCAGATATGAAGCCCCTTGCCATCATTCAGCTCTATAAGGAGGTCACAGTTCCCCTCCCAAAGCCATTTCAGCCAGCAGTTACAGCCAACATTCACTAAGGATGAAAGCTTTGAAAAAGCACCACATGCCATGTGATGCAGGAATTATCTCCAAGACTGAAGTCCCTTATCTGTGGTACTTAAACTGGACCAAAGGAAATCCTTCCCTCTTCACCTCTGAAATTTATCAGTAAGAAAGGCACAACCCAGCTGACACAGGCAGTGACTCTCATGCTGTACCAGAACACACGAAGGGATTGTGGGGTACAACATATAAGAACAGATGGCATTGAAATAATGGTTTCAAAAGTCAAGGATCCAAGAGATGGCAGATTTTTCCTTGCCCATGACACAGTATAATATAAACAGCTGCACTGCAAGTCCCCAGCAGAAGAGAAACTGCATGAAAAGACAAACAGGACCTGTTAAGCCAATGCATCTTTGCACACCTCTGATTCCTCCTGTGCTCCACCTAAAGCAGGTCCTTGCTATGTGAACAAAGACAATCCAATTGATACAATTCAGGAGGTTTTACAAACTATGTTCTCAAACAGCCCCTCTCAACAGCTCTTGGAGAAACTGCACTTGGCTGTGATAAAGTGGGCAGGTGTTTGCACAGATAAATAATCAGCAAAGTGATGTCAAATAAAAGAGCCATTTCCCTTAGTGAGGACAGATTGAGCAGCAAGCTCTGAAGGGATCTCTGTTGGAATCTTTCCTGTTTCAAGTGTCTTTAAATAATCCAAAAAGCTCATTGTTTAGAGAAGCCACAAAGTTTATAAGGCCACTGAGGCTATTCAGAGTAAGAAAGAGCTATAGATGGACCCAAGCCCCACAAGCAGAAGTGGCAGATGAGCAGTGTTCAGTTCACCTGCGTGGCATTGCATGAGGGATGAACAATCCTCAGCTCACACACAAAATCATCATCTCCTCCCTTGCTAGTGCCACACTGAGAGGAACCCTGGAGTGTCAGAGGTCTTACCATAAAACTCAGAGCTCACCACTGTCAGAGACCACCCCACATCACACAGAATATTGTCTAGGGGAAAAAGGGAAGACACCATGGCCCACAGTAATAAAATTCCCAATGAACCCCATGTGCCGTTTTCCCCTTTGCCAAAAAGGACTAAACAGCATAAGAGCAGGCAGAAAGAAGTGAGAGAACATAGCAAGGACTGAATAAGGACTTTTATGTGATTGATTGTTAACCACGATGGGACTTCTGTACCAGGAAGGCTGAAAGGGTGGAGAGGGGAGAACTGACGGAAGGTGCACAGGGAACTGTTGCTATCCACCTCTTCCAGCTCAGAAAGCAGAGCAGTGTCAAATGAAGCAGCAGAGTTCAGAACTTAATTAAAGTACTTTTCCACACAGTGCATAAATTGTGAAGCTCCTCATGAGATACCGTGGGTGACAGAAATGAAATAAGCACTCAAACTCCAAAGCCAACAGGACAAATCCATGGATGTGCCCCACGCTCGGCTCTGCCCGGGTCGGGAAGCAGCGGAGCCTGGGGAAAGCTCCGCCCCGACTGCCGGGGCAGGCACGGGGCTGGGACGGGGCTGCAGGGCGGGGATTATCGAGCAGCCACCGCCTCCGCTTCTGCTGTCCTGGGCCGGTGACTGCTTTGGGACCTCATGTGAACTCCAGGGCAGCACAGAGGAGAGCACAACCCGGAGAGAAATGCTGAATCAGGTTTCACCTGTGTCACTGTTGCTTTCTGCTGCCAGCCACACAGGTGGTTTCATTTTTGCTGTGCTATAATTTAAAATGTATCTTGCTCTTACAATTCTTTCCAATTCAGGTTCCCGTGCCCCAGCCTGCCCACCCAGTCTCACCCGGGCTGCAATGCTGCCACTGATCATCTCTCTTCTCAAACGGATGCCAATGCCCTGATAAGCACAGTAATAGAAATGTGTCACATTTGTCACATCAACAGCGGGAAAACCCAGGACAACAACAGGGAAACGCCAGAGAACTACACAGCCCAACACATCCAGCTGCTCATACCTTAAAACATCTTTGTTTTTTTTTTTTTTCTTAGCATTTACTCAGTTATGCAATGAACTGACAGGGCTATATGCCTTCTCATGTACTTTCTTATTTTTTTAACCTATTTCTACACATTTCACTGAAGACTACAAAAATATTTTGATCTTGCATAATGTTCTATTTACACTACATAATATCAGTTCAGCTCATGAGTAATTTATTTTCATAAAGGAACAGAGCCCTTTCCCTCCTCATTGTCCAAGGTGTAACAATGAAAATCAGAAGAACTTAAATAAGTGAGGGCTGAGAAACAAAATCAGTTCAAGAACTTTCCATGTTTACATTGTTTCTTTTTCCTTCTCCAAATCTAAACTATGTGTCTCTAAATCATTAAATCGGGCTAAATCATTAAAAATTATTATTTATTTCCCAGGTTTTCACATCCACAATAGAAATCATTGCTACTGGAACAGATCCAATATGCTAAACCACATTTTGATTTTTCTTTATCATAAGATGTTGTTAAGGCCATGATTTAATGGACTCTACGGGTTAATTTGGGGGAAATTTGTAATTTTGTGAATTTTCAACACATCTCCATTTACAAAAGACAGATCTTCTTGGACTTCATGACAGTTTTTTCCAGTTCTCAAGTCATTGCAATATTATTATCTGCCTTATTAAAATTCTGGTGGCATGCAATATTTTTAGATGACTTGCAGAACAAGTAGTTCAGGTTAAAGTATGTAATTTAATTTTTATAAAGAATTACTGAGTGTACTGCACTCAGCTTGCAGTTATTCAGATTATGCACTGACCATCCCTCAGTAGATCTCCAACTAAACCCATTCCAGGAGGAATGACAGGAGAACACATGGGAGAGGCACAGCTGCAGTTGTATTGCTCCATACCCAAAATACCTTGACAAGGTTTAATCACACTGAGCAGACACTGAATTGTGCTCTGTGCTACAAACGTCAAAGTTCTCAAGTTCTCTGATGGTGTAATTTATGCTTTATAACACATAAGCATGTTTCAAACTCACACCTCTATCACACCAGCTAAGAATTTGGAGTATGTGTTTACTTAGGGTAAACACAAACTCTGAAATTTCACATTCCCTATACAGCATTTTGTATTCAACTGCTACTCATTGTCACCAGTTAACACAGAACACGAGTCAATCCCTGAGCTTAAGATTGATTTAGATTGATTAGTATGAAAGATTTAATTAAATACTAGATCATTATCAAATGAGCTAATATTTAATATTTAAGAAAATAATGGAATTACTCCAAACTGATAAACTAATATTATGATGAGAATGTATCTTTCCCTAAAATATTTTTTCCAATTAATCCAGCTAT